GCATTATTCCATAAAGGACATTAAGATGTGACAACTTCTTTATAAACGTTTTTAGGTGGAATATCTACAAGTGTCATTTCTTAAAGGTATTAATAAAACACAAGTAGAATCTGGGATTTTAAAAAACTGCATATACAAATACTGCTAACAGATTCTAGAGCTAAAAAGTTCTGTAAGGGGCCTTCAGAGTATTTATGTTGGTCTTAAATCTGATACCCAAAATATATGCTTTTAAAGATGTATTTGTCCCTGTGAGGTTGAATTTTCATTATAAATAAAAAGTAAACATTAACATTTTACAACTATGTAAAAATTATTTACCCAAGGGAAGAATGCCTGTCATAAGTCATGTGTGTTTGCTTGGGCACCCACAGGTTGGGTGTCCATGCCATTGCGTTTCTGAAGTGACTGCGTTGGCCAAAAAGTCTGTATATTTTTTTCCTGTAAAATAAAAAACTTTTTTTTCTTCATTTTCACCAATAATTTTATTGATTTGGGTATTTTGAGTATGTTGGATCTCACATAGTATAATGTTGATTGTCTTAATTTGATCGCTATCAACTACACCTGGTTTACCCTACTATGGAGCATTGTTCAGAGAGAAATCTCTAACACAAAACTTCACAAACCACTTTTGACACATTCCATCAGTCACAGCACCTTCTTTATACGCTGCACAATCTTCTTTTGCACTTGAGTTGCATTTTTACCTTTCTTGAAACAATAAAGCATAATGCACTGAAAATGTTACTTATTTTATTCTACAATATTAAAAGGCTACACAAAAATTCACCAATTTTAATGTTTTGTTAATGTACTCTGATATGACAGCTTTCACAATACAATCTTACAAAATTGTTTCGAATGAAGTTAAAGACAACTAAGCACTACTAGAGCCATCTTATGGGAAAAAAAACACAAACTTTTTGCCTAATCCAGTTTATGGACCACATTGTTTTAGAGGTGCTCCGCTCATCTCTGAGGTAACAGAGGAAATGTAATTTTGTTTAAAACCTACTCACATAAGGAAAAGTATATAATAATAAATTTCTTAATTTACAGGTAACAATGATAGAATATTCAAACCCATGAAGTAAAATTAAGAATAATTCAGTATGTTATTAATTAGTGCTGGTCATAGTACTCATGTACTCAGCAACCTCATTTTTTAAACCAACATATGTTTTCTAGATTAATGATAGGAGTAGTATTACTATTACATTTATGTTATTTACTTTGACAGTATTTTATAATATTATGTTAGACTGTGATATCTGGGTTCATATTTGTAAGGTATTATTACAAAATAAAAAGCACTTTCTGTTTTATTTTCTTTTTTTTTTTAAGATTTTTAAAATTTATTTATTTTTAGAGAGGGAAGGGAGGGAGAAAGAGAGAGAGAGAGAGAAACGTCAATGTGCAGTTGCTGGGGGCCGTGGCCTGCAACCCAGACATGTGCCTTGACTGGGAATCGAACCTGCGATGCTTTGGTTTGCAGCCTGCGCTCAATCCACTGAGCTACACCAGCCAGGGCTGTTTTATTTTCGAGAAAAACAAAAACAAAAAATGGTTTTGTTAACTTCTCAAATGTCTATGTGGGAAGAAAATAGCCACCACCCATCAAATCACCTGAACAGTGATGCTGGTTGATTAAATACTTTTCTTGAATAGACTGATGATAGAAGAACTCAATCCGGGCCTTCTTTTCAGTGGCTGCCTCAAGATATTTTGTGAAGCATTTGGCTCAATGAGTTCAAAATTAAATTAAAGTTGATTGGTCCTGATAGGTGTAGAGGTGCTTGGGTGTGTCTAATGTTTGACCAGGGCGTTGGTGCTGGCCCAGGATAAACACAGCAAGGTGAAGCACCTTTTCTAGTGTGACAGAGCAGAAAGCGGTAGCACTAGGATTTGAACCCCGACAGGTCAGAAACTAAAGCCTGACCTCTAAACCTGGGTACCAATGAGGAGTGAGGGTGACTTACCTCAGTCACACTGCTAGTTGCTCAGAGCTGTTACTCTGACACACATCTCTGCTCTGAGAGTAGTCCAGTGCTGTCTTTGCCACTGCATAAAGATGTGATACAAACTCAAAGGTGTGATTTAACCCAAGTTTTTCCTTAGATTCATTAGAACTATGTATAGGTGCCTGGCAGGTACTGGAAATATCAGGGGAACGCTTTGTAAAGTGTATGATTGTCTAGCCATGATGGTGTACACCTGAAATAACAGTGTACAAAATAACAGTGACTATAAACTTTAATTGAAGACAAATTACTTTCAAAGTAATCATTTAATATGCTTTATAGTCAGTAGAATATTCTATTTATAATAAAATACCCATTTGTCAAGTGTGGATCAGGATGTTTGTGCCTAGATAAGAGAAACAGGAGTAGGAAATCTGGAGGGATTCACTCATGTTTGGCAAGTTTGTAGCAGTTACTTTTGTTCTTTTTAAAAAATCTATTTTTTCATAATATAAGAATTGTACTTGGTTGTTGGAAAAATTTCATATAATTTAGAAAGGTATAAAATGTCTGTACCATCCCCTTCTTCCACCTCCTGCTGTCGCATAGTTGGCATGTATTTTACTGAACAGACAGACATGTAGCTATTTTTTCTTTTACTATAGTTAATAGCATGAAATTAATGAGTCAGTTTGTTAATGGTAGGCAGGAGTTTTATTCTCACAAGCTTATGTATTGTGCAGGGTTTTTATTGTTTGTTTTTAGCATTTACTAGACAGTGTAAGTATCACTGGTATAGTAATAGTGATTTTGATGCAACTCCATAAAACTGAATTGAAAGATTATTTTAGGATTATTTAGTTACTGTTAGGCACTGTACATATAATAAAGTTCCAGATTATAATATTAAATGATACATTTTTATTAAAACATTGATATGTCAGACCATGTGTCTCAATGAAAGACTTGGTACTTTTTGACGAGACCCTCAAGCAAAAGTGTTCCACAGTCACATCGATGAGCAAGTTAAAGAGTTTTCAATTCTGTTCCCAGAGTATAAAACCTTATTGGTGTGTTCCATGTTCATCTCAAAGAGTTGCCTATTGTAATTCACTCCAGATGATCCACCCAGTGTTTTTCCAAGCCCTGATGAATACTTTCCTCCTTGAAGGAGTCTAAAGCATGCCTTAGTAGATTGTTTATTTTCTAGGGGAGCAATTAAAGGCATCCTGGGAGAAGAGGATTCCTTAAAAGTCATATTGCCTTTCTAATTTAGTTCCCTAAATTTATTTGAAGGCAATTTGTGTCTGTACCATCTCTCTCAGAATAGCCATAGAAGTTCCAGAATTATTCCCAGGTATGTCCATGACTTAGTTGGAACACATTCTAATCTGTAGTGGCCTTAGGGCACTGCTAATTTCCTCAGGATGGAAATTGAATGGTATTGGTTCCCAACCTTTATGAGAATGAGGAGTTCTTAGGATGGATGGATGGATAGATAGATAGATAGATAGATAGATAGATAGATAGAGATAAACAAGCTTTTTTAGTGTTTATGAACTGAAAATATGTGAGGAAATTCAGTAATGCTCTGGAATGAATTAATATTTTTTAATTGTGACTATATATACTTACATTAGACAATAATCTGTATGTGTAAGACATTCTGTTTACTCAGGCCACTGTTAATTCATGGTGCATGTGGATATTTTTAAGGACCCCTGGTCATAATTGTGCCTAGAAATGAGAACCCCTGAATACAGAGTATTTCATCTTTAGGGTTGCTACATAGGAATCGTAGTGATGTCTGAAGTATGTCAAATAATTTTTAATATTTGGTAGTTCCAGTCATATATTTTTAATTAAAAGAGAATATTCCTCCCCAAATTTAAATAAAGGAGGTATCTTTAAATAATTGGTTCTAGAACAGCATTTTCTAGCAGCAATTGTAATCATGAGAAAACCCCTAGAAAAAATGGGTTCCATGGCCAAATAAATGTGTAATTTCTCCTTTGAGTTTTACAATGTACATTAATGTAGTAGAGGTCTTGAGAAGTCAAGAAACTTACCAACCAACCTTCCACTACATCACTGACTACAGAGAACACTCCCCTCCACCCCCTTTCAGGTGATAGCTAATAAAATTGCAAAAACAAGCTGTGGAAAATGCTATATCAGAGAGTTCACTCGTCCAGCCAGTTTTTCTTTCATGGAAAAAGTATTGGGGTGAATAAAATCAGCATTTAAAAGATGGCTTTGTTATGTCAATGCACATATCCAAAATGTATATCTTGATTGACTGTATTCATGCATTAAAAATATCATGGCATGCACATTTTCTTTTATCTACTTAGCTGTAATTTCTCACTGCAATCAAGTTTATGTTTTAGAATATTAATTGAAAAAGGATTGCTCTGACAATAATGTTTTTTGTCTCTTCAATAGTTATTTTCATAATAAAGCAGGGTGAAAGGTGCAGTGTTGAAAAATCTTAGTTTTTGAGTGAAACCTATTTAATAAAGCAGTCATTCTTTTATTTCCAAATCATAGTAAAGGCAGCTGCAGTCAGCCGACTGCTTGTGGTTATGCTCTGATTTACAGGGGAAGGAGGAGGTTGTACTATTTTAAATGCATAATAGCGCATTGGTTTCGTCATCTGGAAGCAGAGATGGAAGCAGCTCAGGGGAAATGAGAGACATCAATGTTGCTCCTGTGGAAGGGAAGCTTTGTAGCACACTGTCAGACAGCAGCGTGTATCGAAGAAAATAGTTGTTAAGCATGCATGTCACCAGATGTATTTTCCTTTCAAGAATGGTAGACAAATCAAATGAGAACCAGAAAAAAAGCCTGAGAAAAAGATGCTTAGAAGGATACTGAAGTTATTCTTTATGCTTCACTGCCCTTTACCTCTCTTGGTACCTTCCAGAGAAATCAGTATAGATGTATTTTTAGCTTGCTGTTTCCAACATCAACATGACATGATTCTGTCTTTCTATCAGTAAGCAGCTTCTACTATGTTTTCCTATTTTCTGCTAGCTACAGTTTACAAAGGATGTCACAGCTCTGGTAAGAAATGCATAGAAGCCATTTCCTTGTTTTTTAAGTCATGTTTGGTAGAGATTTGTAATAAGCCAACCAATTAAAACTGTTAAGTGTGATTAGAGAAATCTCTCCATAGTGTTAATCTTACTAACTTGCAGAATGTGTGTGTTTGTAGTACATGGTTTTCTTCAGTTTTTGTTGGGTTTTGTGGGGGGTTTTTTTGGTATCCTGTGCATAACTGGTGTTAAGACATGGTATTTATCTGCATCTGTATTTTTTTTAAGTATCTCACGCTTCTTTTTCCTTAGTACTTTGCTGTGATGTTGTGTTTGTGGATGCGCTTGATATTTGCGAGCTAATGCAAAGACAAGATATGATGATACCCTTGAATTCAGCCTGTTTTGATTAGGGGAGGATACGTAATATGACACCACACCTAACTGTCTCAGATGCTGAACAGTCCTGAGTTGTAGTGATTAGCTCTGTTTTGTAGACTCTGTTTAATTTCAGTTTTTCTTAAGTTTTAAAAATACTGCTAGATAATTTCACAAATGGTTGACAAAAAAAATAATTTGAGCTGCATGCCTGCTTGTTAATAATAGAAATGTCTCCTTATAACAAGTAAAAGAGACCAAATAAATTTGTACATTAAAATTTTGCATTAGCTTACATTAAAAAAATAATCATATAAAGATGAATTACCTTTTTTTCATATTTGTATGTCTTTATTATATGTGCTTACTTTCTTAAACATGCCTATTCCTCTCATTTTAAATATTAAAATATTTAGCATGGCTGTTGAAAGACCTGATCTAGCAAAATTAATTTTTTTCTGGGACTCAGTAATCATTAATTGACAAGATACTTCATTTATAATAGCAGTAGTGCTTAAAATAAAAATGTGTTTGGTTAAGATTTTTAATATTTTCACCTCTGTTTTGGCAAAAGATCAGAATCTTCTTTTGCTGAGATGTATTAGGCAGCCATTTAACCTGTCGACTGCTGAAAAATGATAAAACTTAAATGGGGAAAATTTTGGAAGTAATCTGGCTACATCTAATTGGTGGGGAAATTTTTGGGTGTGTTTCTGATCCTTTGAGAAAATAGGCAATTGTAATTTTTATTTGTTGCACATCCTACAATTTATTTGATTTCTGAGATACTAGCCCTTTTCTAAATTTGTGGAGCACCCTTCTGTTGCGTTTGCATGCATGCTTTAGTGAATGTCATTCAGGAATGAGGTAGGGCACAGTAAAATAAAATAATGTGTTGCCAGAATGGGAATTATTGTTCTTGTAATGAATTTTTAATGACACTATTCTCTCATTTCCCTATAGGCATATTCTCAAGATGCCTACCTGAAAGGCAATGAAGCCTACAGTGGCAATGCCCGCAATATCCCCGAACCACCACCAATTTGCTATCCCCGGCTGCCGTCTGCCCCGTCAGCCATGGCACAGCCAGTTGAAGTGTCTCCTCCAGACTCATCATCCAGCAAACAGCAAACCAGTACTCCAGTACTTACCCAACCTAGCAGGGCTTATAGAATGGAAATACAAGTGCCTCCATCACCAACAGACGTTGCAAAGTCAAACACAGCAGTGTGTGTTTGCAATGAGAGTGTGAGGACTGTCATTGTACCTTCTGAGAAGGTTGTAGATTTGTTAACTAACAGAAACAACCATACAGTTCCTTCACACAGAACTGAAGAAGTAAGGCATGGCATCAATGAGCAGCCCTCTTTAAAAACAGTGTCAAGAACCACATCGCCATTGTCATCTATACCTACTGCCCATCTAATTCATCAGGCACCAGGATCTAGATCATTGGAACCTTCTGGAATTTTACTGAAATCTAGCAATTACAGTGGACATTCAGAAGGAGTCTCAAGCAATAGATCTCAAGCTGTGGATTCTCCTTCCGGATCTGTTAATCACTATTCTCCAAATTCCCATCAGCACATTGACTGGAAAAACTATAAAACTTACAAGGAGTATATTGATAACAGACGATTGCACATGGGTTGTCGGACAATTCAAGAAAGATTAGATAGTTTAAGGGCAGCATCTCAGAGTACAACAGATTATAACCAGGTGGTACCGAACCGCACAGCTTTGCAGGTACGACGCCGCAGCACCTCTCACGACCGAGTGCCCCAGTCTGCTCAGATCCGACAACGCAGTGTGTCCCAGGAGAGGCTGGAGGACTCCGTGTTAACAAAATATTGTCCACGCAGTGCCTCACAAGGAGCACTGACAGCCCCACCCGTTAGTTTTAGCAATCATAGAACTCGTTCATGGGATTATATTGAAGGACAGGGTGAAACCTTAGAAAATGTCGCTTCTGAAAGTCAAATGCCAGATTCAAATGGAGAACGAAAACAGACTTATAAGTGGAGTGGATTTACTGAGCAGGATGATAGACGGGGTATTTATGAAAGATCTAGGCATCAAGAAATCCATAAATCTTTTCGAGGCTCCAGTTTCACTGTGGCTCCGAGTGTTGTTAGTTCTGATAATAGGCGAATGAGTAGCAAAGGAGTGGGATCTGTGTCTCAATTTATAAAAATTCCACCAGATCTGAAAACACTGCAGCCAAACAGGAATTTTCAAACTACTTGTGGAATGTCACTCCCTCAAGGTATTTCACAAGACAAGTCACCTCTTGTGAAAGTCAGAAGTAATTCTCTGAAAGCACCTTCGATGCATGTCACAAAACCACCATTTACCCAGAACTCATTTGTTTCTATCAAAGACCAAAGACCAGTAAATCACTTGCATCAAAACAGTCTGTTGACTCAGCAGACACGGTTAAAAACTGAAAGTGCCCTGGATCACCAAGTGGAGACTGGGAAAAAACCCTGTTTGTCTGGAGCTTCTGTTAAGCCTGTCCCTCAGATGAGTGAGAACTCAGGCACCGCAGAAGTAGAATTATCTGACACTCAAAGGAATCAAGACTTAAATTTACAAGAAGCTGAAATTCACCAATCAGATACTTTAGATAATAAAGAAACTGTAACCCTAAGAGAAAAGCCTCCATCTGGTCGCCAAACACCGCAGCCTTTAAGGCATCAGTCTTACATCTTGGCAGTAAATGACCAGGAGACGGGGTCAGACACGACCTGCTGGCTGCCCAACGACGCGCGGCGAGAGGTCCACATAAAAAGGATTGAGGAAAGGAAGGCCTCAAGCACCAGTCCACCTGGTGACTCCCTGGCCTCCATCCCATTCATAGGTGAGCTTATTTAGAGTCATTGACTGTATGTCCAATATTTAACACGTATTTTTAGCAAGTATTATTTCTAATTCGACATGCCCAGACATTTTGCACTGTGATTTTAAAACATTCATTCTGAATTTCTCAAGTTGTGCTAAAACCAGAACCATAAGCTCTTACTCTTCTTTTCCTTTTATTTTATTTTATTGATTTTTAGACTATATATTCAGTCCCCCTTTTTTGTTTTTGTTTCAATGAAACAAATTCCCATTTTCTGGGCCAAGGTACTCAGCAAACCAAATTGTACCTACTTAGTGAATTATCTGAATTGAAAACCAGGCAGTAATCAATCTTTCATACAAACAGTGCTTTTTACTTTCTAAAGCTTGTTTGTAAATTTAACTTGAGCTGAAAGAAAAAAAAAAAGCTCTTCATTATCATATTAACTTCTGGCATAGATTTGTGCCCAAGTCGAGAACACTAACCACATGTCTTTAGTCTGCTCTCACCCCTCCCCACCCAGGTGTCTTCTCCACAGGGCAGCCAGTGTGATGTTTTGAAAACGTAAATCAGATCATGTCACTCCTTAGACCAGAACCCTTTGTTTACTTCCAGTGTTACCCAAAAGAGAATCTCATATCCTAGAGGGCCTGTAAGGCATCCCATGATCAGCCTCCAGGCCTGTGCCCTGTCTTCCATGTATGTGCATTCAGCTACGCCTGCTGTGCCGTCCTGGGACGTGCCAAGCTTGTCCTGCTCTAGGGCCCTGGCTCTGCCAGTTCCAGGGTTTATACCCTGACTCGTCCTCACTCACTACATAGGCCTCGGCTCAGATGTTACCTCATAAAAGCACCCTTTCCTGATCTGCCTTCTGAAATAGGTACCCCACACACAAACACAGAACCTGGGAATTCTCTATCCTCTTGAGCTACTTCACATCACTTGTTTCCACTTTACATGCTTGTATTTTCTATTACATGTTTCTTTGTTGAGCTAAAACACAAGCTATGTGAGAACCAGGATTTTAGATCTTTTGTTCGGTTCTCGGTCCTTAAATGCGTAGCACATTGCCTGACATATAGAAGGCATTCCATAAATATTTGGTGAAATAATAGCTAAATGATAAACTTGAGATATAGTTAAATATATGGCAACCCCTCCCCCCAGCCAAAGTTCTCACCATAATTACTATGCAGCTCCAAAACATAATCTGCTAACAGGATTATCACATATGTCCTCAGTATTATCTTCATTTAATAAGTGGGACATTTTACTGATGAAGAGGTCAAGTAACTTCCCAAAAGTCACAATTAATAAGCAGTAGAGCCAGGAACTAGAGGCTTCCCTGATTCAGCCACATCACAGAGCACCATATATATAGAATGCATTGGGAAGAGCTCCCCCTGGAGTTGTGTGATGTAGGGGCCTTGCTTTGAGTCCAAGACCCATTCTGTTACTGTTACTCCATAAGTTCATGAAGAGTTCTCCACAATTTGACAGTATAATGTGCTTCTCTTTGAGCAATTTAGTTTTTCTTTTCTAGAGAAACTTTTTAAACCTCTTGAACTACTAGACTGTCAAGTGATACTATCAGAATCAGCCTGAAAAAAATTCTACATGACTTATCTGTAATAAATATGATATATTCAAGCTGTACACGTTGTGGGGAATCCCAGCCCAATTGTACTCATATTCATACCTGTACCCTTAAGGCCAAGCTCAGAGAATAATAGAGCTTTACTGTAGGTCAAACCTTACACATCATCTAGATGTTTTGCAGAACTAGTGATTGTTTTCTGATTTTTTAAAACATAAAGAGCCCTACAACCTGTGACTATATTTCATAGGTCTGTGAGATCTTACCGGAATTTGACATCATAATTTCTTCCTACTTAATAAAAATAACATAATCAGATTACATAGGAATAATAAAAATGTGCTAGTTATAGCTGTTAATATTTCTTCCTACTTCTAAGTACAGGAATAAATCAAAAAGTCAGTTATGTTAATAAAGAGAGAACTTTTGTTAAAATATTAAATAAAATATATATAATTCTATATACATATAGATTTATGGGGAAATTATTAAAATAAATATTTTTTTTATTCATTGAAAACAAAAATAGCCCTGGCCAGGTAGCTCAATTGGTTAGAGAGTTGTCCCGATATGCCAAGGTTATGGGTTCGATCCCCAGTCAGGGCACATATAAGAATCAACCAGTGAATGCATAAATAAGTGGGACAACAAATTGATGTTTCTCTCTCTCTCTCCCCCTTTTCTCTGTCTCTCTCCCCCTCCCTCCCTCCCTCCCTCTCTCTCTGTCCCTTTCTCTCTTGGTCACTCTATCCCTGCCTTCCTCAATCCCTTCCTAATCAATAAATTATGTTTAAATGCTCACTGATTGGATCTGATCAGATTTACTTTAGGTACTTACTAGAGTCTCCTTTATAGTTACTATTAAATATCTTTTGTTTAATGAATCGTGACTTTTAAAAGTCACCCAGCACAGAAATGTTTGTATAGTTCATTTATTTCCTATGTGCCTCCGAGAACCTTAATGTATAGCACATGATTACTATGGTACACCAGTTTCACAGCACCAGTGGAATAGGGTAGAATAAAGGACTGAAATTAAAAAAATTTCATTTCACTGTTTGTATATGTGAATGTCGTCCATGGATTTAAGCATTCTTAAAAATTCCTAGGCCCTGAGGTTGAATACCAGTGCCTCTTAGGTTTTTATAGCATTTTCATAGTTTTTATAAAATTAACTGCTATTTGAAATACAGGTATGGAAAAGAATTTAGTTTGAATATTTAATTTTTGGAGTATAATATCAAAAGCATATTTTCTTTTACATAATATACTTGCCTTTTTACTGTGAGAACCTTTTAACTCTTCGATTTACTAAAATATTTTACTGTAAACTTGAAGTCCAAAGAAATACAAGGGTGGGCAAAAGTAGGTTTATGATAACAAATAACACAGTAATTAATAAATAATAATACAGGTATAAACTGTTTCATGTATTCGCAACTGTAAACCTACTTTTGCCTACCCCTGTATTTATTGGTCTGTTTTAGTGACGGTGTGGTTAAATATGTGAATAACCAACCAGTAAAAGAACTTTCAGCTTTTCATTAAAGTTACAAAATTAAGTATTAAAGTCCTTTTATTATTGAGCGTTAAAGTTTTATCTTTCCAATCTAGTTATTTTTTTAAAATGCGTATTTAGCCCTGGCTGGTGTAGCTCAGTGGATTGAGCGTGGGTCTGCAAATCAAAGGGCCACTGGTTTGATTCCCAGTCTGGGCACACGCCTGGGTTGTGGGCCAGGCCCCTGGTAGGGGGTGCATGAGAGGCAACTGCACATTGATGTTTCTCTTTCTCTCTTTCTCCTTCCCTTCACTTCCCCTCTCTCTAAAAAATCAATATCTAAAAAAAAAATACATATTTAAGTGCAATAACTGCTAGCATTAAAGTGGAATAAAAGAAACTGTTTGCAGTTTCCCCAAGTGTTTTCCAGGAACACTAATTCCATTTAGTTAAAGGGGAAAAAATAGTCAGTGATCAAATAAATTGAGAAATGCTGGGTTTAAATAAACAAATTTTGTTCATCTTAACAGTGGCTTTCACAATCATTAATGTGTTATATATTGTGAATTTTCTAGGTAGGATGTAATTTTTCTCAGAAGTGTTTGACCATGAATCCTTCCATGTAGAATATCTCATTGTAGTACACCGTGAAACACACTTTGGGATATGTTGCCCTATATTCTATACTATTTTGTGGAATAGTTAAATTAAAAGGAAAAAAGAAATAAATTAAGGTTTGCTTTTGTATTGTCACCCTCCAGAATACAATATTCTATTATTTTAATAATCACTTTGTCATTTGAAAACATCACACACTAATGCAAAGCATAATAATAATTAAGTGGCTTGGCTTTATTCCCAAACTATCAGATAATGGAGCCAATTTATTTATTATTTATAATAAGAGTTAATGATACGTCTACAGAAAAAAAATGTTCCAACATTTTTACATCTTTTTTTTTAAGCAAGAGTTTTTTTTTTAAAACTTCCCTGTCCCTTTTTTTTTTTTTAATTTTCTTTCTTTCTTTTTTTAAGATTTTATTTCTTTATTTTTAGAGAGGGGAAAGGAGGGAGAAAGACAGAGAGAGAGAAACATCAATGTGTGGTTGCCTCTCACGTGGCCCCCACTGGGGACCTGACCTAGTAACCCAGGCATGTGCCCTGACTGGGAATCGAACCTGCAATGCTTTGGTTCACAGTCCACACTCAATCCACTGAGCTATGCCAGCCAGGGCTTTGTTACACCTTTAACATCCAATTTTTTCTGTCATGAAGATTTAGAAAAATGAAGAAAAGAATTCATCTCACATGTACTTTCCCCTCTTCTTTTGCCGTATTTCTAATACTCTTTGTTCTTTTCATCCCTAAGTTGTCCAGTGTGTGTGTGTGCATGTGTTAGCCTAAGTAAAACTGAATTATGCTGGTGTAGCCTTATTGGCATTGCCACTCTAAACCAATTTAGAAGGTTTAAAGCTTGTAAATGACAGTGTCTGTTCAGGTGAGCTTAGCTATCTGAAATTTATCCAAAAGGAAATGGGTCACCTTACACCCAGTTTCTCAGTTTGTGAGCTCTAGTCTTTAATGCCAACAGTGATATTGTAGGAGGATACACTGAGCATTCCAGGCCGTCTTTTATACTAAGTACGTACTGAGTCTTCTTTCTTGCAAAACAAATCTGTAATGAGGAAAATTGTACACTATCATCTTATACTCTTTTTCATATTCAGCTTTTCCAAAAATGTAACTCCATTGGTTCTTTTTTTACTTAATCTTTAATTTTTTTACTTTAAATAATTTTTTTGTTTTTCAATTACAGTTGACATACAATATTATATTAGTGTCAGGTTTATGTATAGTGAAGTTATCACCCTGATAAGTCTAGTACCCAACTAACACCAGACATAGTTATTAGAGATTTTTGCT